TCTCGCTGATGAACATCGCGGTGTAGCGCGCGCTCTCGAGCTGCGCCGCCTGTCGGGCCGTGGCGAGGGCCAGCTTCGAGATGATGACCAGCAGCTGGTCGGCCTTCTCCTTGCGGTTGCCTGCCTTCCCCCGCATCGGGCGCGGCGCCGATGCAGGGGGCGAGGCCGCCCTCGCCATCCAAGAGGGCATCGCCGCGTCCGAGGTCATGACGGAGACGCTGCCGCGCGACGAAACACGCCCCCGGAGAAACCGACCAGGGAAGGTGAGCCCGAAGACGGCTACAGAGGTCGTCGTAGTCGGCCGACTCGCACGAGCAAGTGCGGCACCCAAGATCCCTCGGTTCAACTCTGGTCGCAATCGCACTCGGCCCTCTCGTTCCGCAGTGCCCCCTAAATATCGAACCCTCAAGGTGTCGATAGGCCGTTTGCCTACTTCAGAAAATCTTCCTACACGCAATACATTCGTTGGACGGGCAAAACAGAGCAGCTAAAATATAAACGCCGTGCTTGTGCCTCACCTGCTCAGTGAGTCCCCGCATCGTGCAGAAAGAATCGCCACATTGCATCCCCGCCCCTTTCGTCCAGGAACACACGCACGGGGCAACAAAGCCCGGGGGGGGGAATCGAGTCCGTCAAGGGCCCTTGGGTCAGAGATACCGCAAAGTGGGCCAGGGGGCGCAATCGTGGCCGTGACATGGCGACCGCGCAGGCGTCTGAAACCCAGGCGAACGAACTCCCCATATAATTTTTTATCCTCGATAAGGAGACAGGGGCGGTCCGCGACACGCAAAAGCACATCCCTGTCATTGGGCATGACATCGATCGCGGCTCGAACGTCGTCCTGGATGCGTTCGGCCCAGGGACTCGCAAACTGACTAAGGCCATCCTCTGTGCACGGCCGCTTTTCCGCAGGTTCAAAAGCAAGGGCCCCAGAGAGCATTGCTAAAATATGCGCGTGCACCCGAGTCCGAGAGGCCCAAGATTGGTGCCAGCCTAGACTACGTATTCGGAGCTCCATTTCGCACTGCACTAATTCCCATGAAGCCGAGATTTTCTAGAGAACACATGCGGGCAGTGACCTCCCCCCGTTCGTTGCGTTCGCATGCGGCACCGCGCATGGCAATCTTACAGAGGGAGGCGAGACAGTGGTCCAGGAGCGAGTGTTGACGGGGGCATATGTATGTATATATATATATATAACTCAAGTGCCGACAGGGGGGTGTTTTGCACTAAACCGATCAGTACCGTGCGCCGCCAGCGTCGCGGCGTGCTGGCAGACCAGAAACCTGCCATGGCATAGAAGGCGGCACCGGGCAGCCGCCATCCTACGCTCAACCTCGATGGCCGCTGAGGCGTCCTGCGTGACGATCGGCCTCAAGTACCTTGTCGCCTCCTCAACTCGTCCGTCGACTCGGCCCTTTGCGATGGCACGCTGGAGCCACCGCTTGCACTGCTGCGAGCCCGTCCCCTGGATCATGAAGCACGCCACCTGCTTGTCGCGATCCTGCGCCAACCCATACTGCGTGAGGCACTCGTCCAGGATGTCATCGCTGCTCTTCATCCTCCTGAGGGCCTCGTCCATGTCGCAGCCGACCTCCAAAGGCGTGACGCGGCACAGGTCATCGGCGTACTTGGACAGCGAGACGTCAATGGTGAAGTCCTCGAAGCCCCCGTGCAGCGGTCCCGTGATCCCCTCCATCGACAGTCGCTGGGACCACTTGTCAACGGGGGCGACAAAGGCCGCCGCGAACGCCTGCACCACGAACGGCCCCCCCATGAGGCCGCCCTCGCCCGTCTTCAAGAAGAGGGCCCCGTCGCTCGCGTCCACCTCCACGACAGACAGGCGGCGCCCGTCACGGCAGAGCGTCTGATTCTGCGGCTCCACCAAGCCCTCGTCTAGGATGACCTCATCGAACCTGTCCCAGGACACGCTGCCGAAGGCGTTCGCCATGTCCTTGAGCGTTGCCACCCACGACCAGCCAGACTGCCTCAGGCGCCACGCCAACACCTGAGTCGCCAGCAGAGCTCCCTCCCTACGTCGGCGGGGGGCGAATCCGTGATCTTGGGGGGGCGAGCTGCGCTTTGAGCTTGCACGCGAAGTAGCCCTTCCCCACAGCGGGGAGAGAGTGAATAACTCTCCTTCCCTTCATACCAGGCTTGTCGCTCTTGGCGAGTCCGATGCCCATGCTGCGGTGCCAGTGCAGGGGGGCCTTCTCCGCGCGCCTGATCAGCGCCAGCGCGCGCAGGAGGGTCTCGTCGAACAGCTGCATCCCCTGCGCCGTCCTCTCGAAGCCCACGCCGTGGGGTAGCTGGCCCATGGCCCTGCCGGGCCAGAGGCAGAGGTCCCAGAGCTCGAGCGCCGCCGTGCCAGTTGGAACTGCGCGCCCCTTCTTGGCGCGCCGAACGCAGCGCCTCAACTCATTGAAGTCATCCTGTGCGTAACCAATGTCCATGGAGTCGGCGGGTGGGGCGGGGGGGGGGGGGGGGGCAAATCTGCTTG